ACTAGTAGTAATGTAGAAGCTAGAAAATCAATTAAACTAAGAGAACAATAGGCTACAAAATTAATTTAAAGGTTTAAGTCAGACGGGGATTACAATAAACTAATTCGTTCCTTGATCATCAAAATTAATGGATTACTTAAATTAAAGACGTGCAAACGACAGTGTAAGAAACATGAGAAAAAAAGGGTGCGATCCCACACAACATGAAGCGCATCATAAGTAGTAAAAGCCTAGATGAAGCCCAAGTGAGGTTCCATCTCAAAATTAATTGGTGGAAGGAGTAGCAAATTAGACTTATAAATTAGGCATTGTTCCTATATAAACGAAGTGGGACAACTCACAGTTGAATATTCTAATATGTTTTTCAATTGTGAGTCCTTCATAAGAAACTCGAGTCATATACAAAGTCGAGTGCCCAAGCCCAAAAGGGTTGGGAAACGGGTACATTCGCACGATCCCAATAGAACCGGCTCTGATATCATATAAAAAACGAGGAGAAAACGGGTGTGGTCCCACGCTCATGAAGTGCACCATAGTAGAGAAAGTCCAGATGGAGCCCAAATGAAATTTCATCCCAAAACCAATTGGTAGAAAAAAGAGTAGTCTAATTGATTTTGGGATAGAACATTCACTACGGTGTATCTAAATTCACCTTCTTAATTATTTGTAAATATAAATTAACTAGTACAACGCCCGTGTATTACACGGGTGCTTGCTAATTTTTTCCTTAAAATCTAAAATTAATAAGAAAAAGTAGTTGTAATCCATTTTGCGTTTTTATCCCAATCTATGAGAAAAAGTAATTGCTAAATAAACCTTAATCATTTTGCGTTTGGCACATTTATCTGAATATTTGGTTAATTGCAATATAATCTCGACCTCAAGTTACTTATTGCAAATTCGGGTGCAGCGTGATTGATATTAGGGATTTGTGGATCGATTTTGTGTCCAAGTCTTCCATTGACACGGGTTTTTATGTCATCCATGTAGCAAGTCGACAATTTCCACGTATTTAATGTATATCCACGCACAAAGCCAAAAATTCCACGTCAATGTAAGCTACTGATGATGAGTATCCTCCTAGATCTGGAGCGAACCGGTAAATATGAGTTCGGATCTGTTCGAACCGCTTTCAAATCGACCAGTTTTTTGAAGGTCCAACCGGTTTTAGGTTCGACTTGCAATAAGTAAATTGAGGTCGAGATTATATTGCAATTACCCAAAGATTGAGATAAAATTACCAAACGCAAAATGGTTAAGGTTTATTTAGCAATTAACCCAAAATTTAAATACCTTTTATAAATATATATATATATTATATATTTAGTATGACACTTTTTATTTGTGCGACTTACATGTATTATATTGTAATATTTTTTTAACTTACAACATATGACTACATTAAACATAAATATATGAATTGAGAAATAAATTTATTTTTTTAATGAATTTTAATAAATATTATTATTTTTTATTATTATAAAGATAAATATAATTTATTTATTTCATATATACAATATGGATGTCAAATCAAATATCATCGAAAGATGATTAATTCGATATATTATATATGCAAAACCGATTAGAAAAATAAAAGTTATCAACTTTTAAAATACATTTACAATTCAATAGCTAATTGAAGGAAATAAATCAAAAGTCATGGATATATTAGTCACGTAGTGCCTCACTATGTAAAATTACAAAGAATTAAAGGGTTATATTAGTACAAGTGATATTAAAATATCTAAATTAGCTAAATAATATTTATGGATCCGAACCTAGATTATTAATTATTAATATATCAATATTCTTTGTCCAAAGCTAATTACGAAGCATGAAAGATTCCGAAGCACAAAAAATAACCACGTAAACTTAGCGCATTCGAGAATTATATATATGGTGGATAGTCGCTATAGAAAATGAAAAAAAGTAAAAGAGGAGATTTTTATTTTTATTTTTTTGCATAAAATATAGTAAAAGAAAAAGGAAAACAAATTGTGATTTATTGTGCTAGATGACAATTCCTGGCAAGGTAGGCTACCTTTTATGCACTGTGTAAACTGTAAAGTAGAACATTATAAAAGAAAAAGAAATTGCACAATTATTACTCTTTTTTTAATTTTAGTGTGTCGCCTTTTTTAATGCACGAAAAAGACATCTAAAGAAAGTAAAAAGTTTGGAAAAAAGGGAGATTTGAGCATTGACAAAAACAAAAAAATAAAAAATAAAAAAAAAAAATTGACCAAAAAAAAGAGGAGATTTGAGCCGACGCTCTTTCGCATCAACTGCGTGCGAAAAAGTTGATTTTTTTTTTTTTTTACAATAAAGGGAGGTCATATGCCTAAGTTAGAATCTTTCGGGAATAAGCTATCCTCATGTTGTCATGCTGCAGCCACTCTTCAATTCCTGTAGGCAAAAATTGGTTTAAAATGCAAACACGAGTGATTAGTTGCTAAACATCCCACGCGGCATGCTCGCGCGTGTGGTCACTTCATGTGAGGAAAGTAAGATAGCATATCGATCAATTGAAGTGAATAGATTGACATATTCATAAATAATTCTCCAGTGGTATATATAGATTGACATATTCATAAATTTAAATAAGCATAATAGTCAATTTAAATATAAAAATCATATTAATTATTTACTTAATATATATACTTGTTTTAATCTTTTTAACAACAAACACAAATATTTATGAGGACAATAATATTATAAACACTCAAGTGTATAAGTGGTTATAAATTATGTAAAAATGTTTGAATGGAAAAGTGAGTTAAAGAGCACAACAAATTGATGGAAGAATGCAAAATTTTTAAAAATATGGATGAATATGAAAATAAAATATAATAATTAAATATTATATATTTTTTTTTAAACTCTAATTTTAAACACCAATTTTTTATTTATTTATTTTTTAAACTCTAAATTTAATGTTGTTATGAGTTTTGTTAATTCTAAACTTAATTTGATAGTTTTATAATGTTTAAGTCCAAAATTAAGAAAATAAATCTTTCAGGTCCCGTATTGATAGTTTATTCATATTTCGGGTCTTTAATTTGATAGATTTATAACATTTAAGTCCCGAATTGAGAAAAAAAAAATTCCCGGCCCCACATTGATAGTTTTTCCCATCTTTCAAGTCTTGTATTGATAAAACTCCGATAAAATTTTAACAAATACTCGTGTAATACAGGGCGTTGTACTAGTGTGCGTTAACTCAATTTTTTTTTTTTTTTATAAATCAAATTTTGGAATTATTTATGAAAAAACTTTTTTTTTTTTTTAGTTATATAATACAAACTCAGAAAGGAAGATTCAAGAGAGAGATGGAGAGAGAAGCTAAAGAGAGAGAACACCATTTTTCATAGAGTGTGAAGGGGGAGGTATGAGAGCGAGCCTGAACAATATCCAGCAGACGCTGACGCCGGAGGCGGCCGCCGTTCTCAACCAGTCCATAGCGGAGGCGAGCCGCCGCAACCACGGTCAGACAACGCCGCTCCACGTGGCGGCGATGCTGCTGGCGTCGCCTTCGGGGTACCTGAGGCAGGCCTGCATCCGGTCCCACCCCAACTCGAGCCACCCGCTCCAGTGCCGCGCGCTGGAGCTGTGCTTCAGCGTGGCCCTCGAACGGCTGCCGACGGCACAGAGCGCGGGGGACGCGGAGCCGCCGATCTCCAACGCGCTCATGGCGGCCCTGAAGAGGGCGCAGGCGCACCAGAGGCGGGGGTGCCCGGAGCAGCAGCAGCAGCCGCTCCTCGCCGTGAAGGTCGAGCTTGAGCAGCTGGTAATTTCGATACTCGACGATCCCGGCGTGAGCCGCGTGATGAGGGAGGCTAGCTTCTCCAGCTCGGCCGTGAAGGCCAAAATCGAGCAATCCCTAAATAGCTCCAGCCCTCGCGCAAGTCAACGTCAGCACCACGGCGCCGGCGGGAGCGCGAATTTCGTGGTGGGTTTCGGTGGAATTGCTTCTAGAATGCTTCCAAATCCTGGTCAACCGCCAACTCCGGTGGCTCGACCGATGTCTCCGGCGGTCCCATCGCTGGCCAATCGGAGCTTGTTCCTGAATCCGCATATGCAGCAGCAGCAGCAAACACGCACCGCCCAGATTGAGAACCCTAGAGGCGAGGAAGTCAAAAAGGTGTTCGATATAATGTCTAGTAGCAAAAAGAGAAACCCAGTTATTGTGGGGGATTCAGAGCCTGAGGCCGTGGTAAAGGAATTGTTCAGAAAAATTGAAAATAATGAATTCGGAAATGATCTGAACATGAAGAATCTTCAGATAATATCAGTAGATAAAAGTCTTCTTTTGTCCGACAAGAATCAAATAGCTGCCAAGATCGATGAATTTGAAAGGGCGATTGAGAGTAAGATTGGGAACGGAGGGGTGATTCTTGATCTCGGAGATTTAAGGTGGCTGGTGGAGCAGCCAGCAGATGCGGGTTTCAGTGGGGCCCAGCAGCAGCAGAAGGCACCGGTTGTGTCCGAGTTGGGCCGGGCTCTGGTGGTGGAGATGTCGAAGCTACTGGCCAGATTTAATGGAGCTGATGGTCTGAATGAGGGTAAGAACAAGCTCTGGTTGATTGGGACTGCAACTTGCGATACATATTTGAGATGCCAGGTTTATCATCCCACCATGGAGAGTGACTGGGATTTGCAGGCTGTGCCTATTACATCCAGATCTCCTATTCCGGGAATGTTTCCGAGGTGTTATCATTTTCATTCGAATTTTCTTGCCTTGCTTTCTAATTTGTTTCTTATGCTACTTAGTTATGGAGTTTTTGTGAAATCGATATATTTGTATGTCTACTTTAGCGAGAATTGGGTTTGTGTTATGCAATCTACTATCTAGCTTGATCTTGGATTGCCACTGAAGAGTAGTTCATCTGCAAATATCTGAAAATCAAATTTCTGGTTTAATTTTGAAGTACAATCTTCTCTCTGTTTATTTTTATTTGGATTGGTCATGTTTTTTATTTGAGTTATCTTCCTGACATCTGATCATTTATATTTACAGGGTTGGACCGGAGAGAACCATGAGCAACCCCTTGGAATCCCTGAATCCGGCGAACCCTATCCGAAGTCCGTCACCTACTTTAGCAACGTGTTTAACTGAAATATCAGATCCTGCTACCAAACAACCTGTTCCAAATCCCTTACCTGCTTTGTCTGGGCGCATATCAACGTTGGATCCTTCTCAAATACATCCTAAACCAAGTCCCTTGCCTGGTTTGTCAAGGCTTATACCTGAAAATTTGGATCATGCTCAAAGGCAAACTGTTCCGAGTCCATTACCTGGTTTAGCAAGGCTTATTCCTGAAAAGTTTGATCCTGCTCAAAGGCAACCTTCTCCGAGTCCGTTACCTGGTTTAGCGGCTCAAAGAGGACCTATGTCGAATTCGTTACCTGGTTTGTCGACACTTAAACCTGAAAATTCAAATCCTGCTAAAAAACAACCTATGACAAGTCCATTACCTGGTTTGTCGAGGCTTATACCTGAAAATTCAGTTCCTGCTCAAATACAACCTATGCCCAGTCCATTACCTGGTTTGTCAAGGCTTATACCTGAAAATTCAAATCCTGCTCAAAGACATCCTATTCCGAGTCCCTTACCTGGTTGGGCGAGGCTTATACCTGAAAATTCAAATCCTGCTCAAAGACATCCTATTCCGAGTCCCTTTCCTGGTTTGGCGAGGCTTATACTTGAAAATTCAAATCCTGCTCAAAGACATCCTATTCCGAGTCCCTTACCTGGTTTGGCGAGACTTATACCTGAAAATTCGGATCCTGCGCAAAAACCCACCTTTTGCCCTCAGTGTTCAGTGAATTACGAAAAAGATCTAGCGAAAATTGCAGCCATCGAGAAGTCATTATCTCAAGCCA